ATATTTATTGCCTTTCTCCCCCCATCTCAAACTGGGGCTCAAGGTGGCTAACCATATAATACATAAAACAAGCAGAGGTTAAACACAGAGCAGTGATTTGTTGTTGTGTATTTTCAAGTCATTTCCAGCTTATGGTGACACTACTGTGTAGTTTTCTTGCCAAGATTTGTTCAGCAAGGGTTTGTCATTGCCTTCTTCTTAGGCTGAGAGAGTGTGACTTGTCCAATGTCATCCAGCATCATGTTTTTCCATGGCTGAGCAGGGATTTGAACTCTGGTCTTCAGAATTGTAGTCCAACAATCAAACCAATACACCATGCTGCCTCACTTATAACGTTGAATAATTTAAAAGCACACATAGAAAATATAGCACCCAACTGAGTTAAAAATGCCTTTGTAAAAATCCAACTTAAGAGCCAAAGGCCAGTCAATATAAAAAGGTCTTTACTTGGAGGGAAAAGGACAAGATGATGGTGAGGGGTTGGGAGCCTAGTCATTCTTAGTGGGGAGTGCCCACAGCCTGGGAAGAAGCCCAAACTAATCTAACCAAATGGACATATGAAAGTGGCAGAATAAGAGAAGAGCCCAAAACCTGGCTAGGCTTATATTGGAGAATACAGCCCTTCAGACATCTAGAACCTTAGTTATATAGGGCTTTAAATGTCAAAGGATTGGGAACCTTTGGCCCATGAAATATTTTGGACTACAAATACCATAATCTATTAGCATTGGCCATGCTGGTTAGGCCTGCAAAGAGTCCAAAAATATCTCAAAGGCCAAAGTTCACCCTAATCTATAGGATGGGAAGAAAACAAATACCAGCCTAGATTAATGAGGGTGAAGCAAGTAAATTGTGCTTTTGACATTTAACTCTCTAGGAATGACTGATGGAACAACATTAACATTATCAAGGGTACAGTAGTTATAGTACCAGTCACATGTAAGTATACAGGGTGAAGGGAGCTCAGAGTACCTTAGCCTTCTTTACCCAAAACGTCTAGTCTGTAGACCACTAGCAAGCTGCCCACACAATAAATTTCTATGCTTATGTTTTAGCCTTTGAAACTATGAGAGACTTAAGGATCAACATCTTTGAAAGAAAAAAAAGAGGGAGGGAGGATGAATGTCTCATACAATGTAGAGGGAAACATTTGGAAGGAAATGCTGTTTTGCACTGATTTCGACACCCAGTGGTTAGACAGATGCTGCAGCTTTATCAATAAACTGAGCCAGCTTGACATCTCGCTTTGTCAGTCCACCACAGTCATGGGAAATGAGAGTTATTTGGACCTGTTAATGGGAAGGAAGAAAAGAACATTATAGTTCATGAGCCAATGTGTTCCCATACAGACTGACTGGATTCAGTCTCAAACTCTTTGACACACATTTTGATTTGTTTATTTACAAATTTCATTTTTTAAAAAAAAAAATCTAGTCTGCTGATTGTAAATTGGAATGGCACTGCTTTTTCAAATAAAAGGCATCATGTAACACAGCTGTCAGGTGAACAGCCTTGAGAGAACTTGGAGATTAACCAAAGAGAGCTCTGGCACACAGCACGTAACATTTGAGGGTTGGGATTCCTGGGCTTCCTCCAGAAGAAAGGTGTCCAATTAAATTACTCCAGAAGAGAGGTGTCCAATTAAAGTAATTGCGTAAGTTGGTTTCAGAAGGAAATCAGGCCCTAACCCAATTGCAAATGCTAAGTTGCGCAATTCAAACCAGAAACCTAAAGGTGAAGAACTTGATAATACTTTGCAGCAGGTTAGTTCTGAAGAGTAAAACAGGCTGGTGTTGTATTAGTGTGGTGCAGCTGGCTTGAAAGTATTATTTACACTCTTCCCCCTGCACCGGAAGAATGTTATGTGTTACTTTGCTAAATTTTCCTGGTTAGACAAAGTGGTGAGGGGCAGCGGGGAGGAGATAATAATACATGCTGGAAGTCTAAATGATCTTGGTCTTAATTCTCAGAGACTAAAACCATGCCAGGAATAGCCAGGAATACATATATCAGTTTCTATACAAATATAGCTATTTGTTATCATAGAAATTATGCTCTCTATATCCAACCATACAAGCCATCCTTGGATTTAGTTTAAAATGGTTGATATTTATCTGCAATTAAACATTTCTCACAATGAAATGGAAAAACTTAGATAACAGTTTTTGTACTACCCAAATTGTGACAAAGTTGCCTGTCTTTCTGAAAAATTTGGGATCCTTCTTTTGAGGCTTCTCTTTCAAGTTATTTTCTCAGAGGCCTATACTCTGTCCTCATCCAGAAATTTTCTTTGCCTTATTTCTGTGTCAATAGTATTCTTTGCTTAGTAAGAGTCTCAAATTGTGCTAAAAATATTTAACTGACTGTAATTTGGAAATTTTACTTAGGACATCTGCAGACAAGAATGCCAGACATCTTTTTTTTTTTTCTTTAAAAAGGGACTGAAACGGAAAATCCAGGATGGAATCCAACACGGTGTGACTGGAAGTCCACTCATCCAATGGGATTTTCATATTTTTCCTTTCCACTGCTAACCCTCTAAACCAGAGGTCCCTGGACTTTTTGATCCGGGGGCTGGTTTGCTGGCCCCCAGATCTTCAGAGGGCTGGAGGTGCGCGTGACTCTGGACGCCATTTTGGAAGACAAAATGGCATCTGGAGGCAGGCTGGTAGGAAGGCCTCAGCGGGCCAGGGCTGGCCCACGGGCAGTAGTTTGGGGATCCCTGCTCTAAACCATCCCATTTGCTTCATCTGGGTTCCCTAACCATCCAAAGTAGAGTCTAAGGGTGCAAAAGGAGCTCCTAGGGTAGGGTTTTTGTATCCTCCTGATTCCTATCAGCAGAAACACTATACTGGATTTCTCCCAGATAGCTTTCTGAAGATTTGAACAGGAGGTTTGAATGAGAGACTCATGACCGTAGTGCATCCTAATCTGCCTTCTGGTAAAACAATTTGGGGGTGTCTATTGTTTATGAAAATTACACACACTGTTCAGACCTAGACAACAGTAGGAGAAAAAAATGCCTGTACACAGCAAAAAGCAATGGCTCTCAAAACACTTTGAGAAACAGTTGGGATTTTTAAAGATGCTGTGAATGACAACAATACGTACACTTTGGAAAAGATAAGAACAAATGCTTGACAACATTAACACCTGGGATGCTAAACTCACTTTTACTTGTCTTTCAAAGGTTACTCAGTTTTCAAAGTTGCTGTCCAGTCAAGAACCCAGCACTCCCCAGTGGCCAATGAAAACAGCTCAGTTATTATTATGTTTATTACCTTGTTGTATACATTAAACCACTCGGGGTGATGATTCATCTTTTCAGCTTGAAGAGCAATCCGAGTCATAAAACCAAATGCCTGTGTCAAGAAAAAGAAATATTTAAACATTTTACATAGATACGTAACTTTTAAGATAAGGTGTTTTCTTCTGGGGAACTGTGAAGAGAGAAACATGAGAGGAAGAGTGATAGAGCATTAAAGCATCCAAGAACAGTAGATGGAAAGAAATAGAAACTATAAAACAAAGATACTGAGCCCATATTATACTCAGTTTTGAAGTAAAGAAAATTCTGGCAAAATGTTGCTTGTGGAACAGAAAATGCTAGTAAGGAGATAGTTCTTAGTGGTTGTACGATTGTTGCCATTTGGCTGAATAGGAGAACTACTAATATTCTGAAATACAACAACAACAAATGCATTTATAAAGCATGTTTCAAATATTTCAAGTACTTCATTACTTCAATAATGCCAACAAAAGTCTTATAAAAGTAGACCAGCATTATTATCCTCACATTGCAGAGGGACACCAAGAAAATACTAACTTCCCTAAGACCACCTACTGAGTTCACGGCTGATGAGAGAGTTCCAGAAACAAAGCACAAGTCTGTAGCCGCTACACTCCACCGGTATTTTTTTTTTCACAAAAGATCTACATAAATTGTATTGGCAGATATGCTGTGTATGAATGCTCAAAACATCAGAACTTTAAATTCTACACATTTCCTTCCGATACTGTATCCTAAATTGTCCATCTCAGTACAAAACTAAGAATCTAATCTAATTTAAATGAAAGTAATCTATGGCACACTAAATACATTTTTAAAGGTATCTTTTCAAAAATCAATATCTTAATCTATAGACAGTTAATTGTCTCTGCAAAATAATTTGCACTGAAACATGTCCAATCCTACAAAAGTAATTTTGAACAAATACACAATTAAGAAATGGTATAATGGCTGGTAATAGTTACAGGGTTTTTTCCCCTCCACAACTGCTGACTGAATGAAGTATGACTTTGCAAGCCATTTTGTCCGTCAGATTAAGGCAGTCATTACAATCAGGGCAAATTATTCCAATGAAGTTTTTCATTTACAAATCACCAAATTGTCAACATTTGAAATGTCCAGAAGCTGCCGTATGCCACTTTCCTTCAAGCTCTTGTTTGGTTAATAGTCTGAACTTGTCCATGTTTATTTGAATTTAAGTCTCACTAAATTCTATAGAATTTGCTCTCAGCCTTCATTTCACTTGTACAAAACAATTTATGTTTCATAGCACAGTTAAAGTGGTTTTGAAACCTTTCAAAGAAGTGACATGTATTAAGTTATCTTTAATTTATGCAAAAGGCATCCACAGACGGCTCCAAATTACTAAATGCCCCTGAAATATGTATAAATATGTATACTTTTAACAATGTTTGAGAACAGGACTCTCAAACTTTCTTTTCTCAGCACTCTTGACTGAGTTTCACCACTCACAAAATGGCACAGCAGTGCTGGAGTAAGTTGCAAAATGAAGTCAGATGGACTGCAGAATTGGTTGGCAATTACTGTTATGATTTTATATTAATATTTAACCTCTCATTAGAAATTCTTATGTTCTTTGACAAAGTAATTTTCTTATACTAAGGAGTTCCACTGTCAGCATTCCTCAAGCATACAAACAGTGGCTCTAGAAGTTATCATAACTCAGCAACTCAATTTCAGGAAGGATTGACTGATCCAGAGGCTCTGACCAGAACACATTTTTTATTATTCACCTCCACATGTCTCTTGAAGTATTTTTACCTTATTTTCTCCCATTTCTTTTCCCAACTTGTATTCTATCCCCAATGGACACTTTATTCCTGCTGCTTTTACATTTGCTTCCACCTGTATCCCCTTCCCTTCTATTTGTAGATTTTTAAAAATATTATTTTATTTTTAAATAATTATTATATTTTATTATTTTAAAATTGTTGTTGTTGTTGTGTGCCTTCAAGACATTTCCAAACTATGATGACCCTGAGGTGAACCTATCATGGGGTTTTCTTGGCAAGA